TTAATGCGAAATAAACTGCAAAAAATCTAAATCTAGATAAGTCATTCTTTCATAAAATAAGTGCATTTGTTCTTGGATTGAGGAGGTAAAAGAGACATTCTGCCAATGGAACAAGACAATTTACACTTAAAATAAGAAAACATAATTGCATTATCTTATTTCAAGTGCATATTATCTAATTATCTTATTTTAAGAGTAAAATTACTCATTCCGTTTGCAAACTTTCTCATTTATCTACTCAAATTAAGGGTGAATACACTTAATTAAGGAAATTTTTACTTATTTCTAGATCGTTTTTGCAGTGTAACTGGGCTAGTTGGAGAGAAGCGGTTTCAGGTTTAACAGACAGCGACACCATTGATCACATTAACATCAGCTGCAGGAATGGAAAAATTAAAAACCTTAGAGAAAGATTCGCTTTTTGCATCTGAGTCAACAAAACACTAAAAAACATAACAGTTGTTAGATGTAAGAATATTTAAATATACTGTGATCTTCTGTGTTTTTAGGTTTAAAACACAAAACTCATTGAACCCGAGGCCCACATTTCCATGCAGTTTGGTCAGATCTGTTAACTGAATGCTTTTTACGAAAATGCTTGAAGAACAGAAGCACACTGCAAAAAATTGAAATCTAAGTAAGTTTATTTTTCTTTAAAAAACAGCGTTTCTTTCTTGAATTAAGCAGTTAAGTGATACACTTTGCCAATGGAATAAGGCAATTTACATCTAAAATAAGAAAAAACAATTGTGTTGTCTTATTCCAAGTGGATATTATCTAATTATCTTATTTTAAGAGTAAAAATACTCATTTTAATGGCAAATCTTATTATTTACTTGCTTGAATTATGCTAAATACACTAATTTTAAGACATTTTTACTCGTTTCCAGATCTTTTTTGCAGTGCAGTGGCGCAGATTTCCCACTCAACCTCCATTTTAAACATGCAGCTTCATTTTCACCCGTTAAATGCAGCACTTTGTGGCTTACAGTTGCTTTACTTTGGTTTTTTCAATCCAAACTGGAGACGTATGTTTTGTTTGTTTCTGGCTGGGCTGGACTTTTCAGGTGTTTACTTCCCTTCTTCGCTGCTGGGTTGACTGTCTAATCATCTGCAAGAAACATTACTTGCAGACCCCGATATGATCGTATTATTAGATAAGCAGTGGGTTTTTCTGAGGGAAAAGTGTGTTTTGGAGTTTTTTTTTTTTTATGTCTGCAGTTTGAGAATAAAGTCGGGCTTGTTTCCGGAGGAGGAAGGACTCCAGCGTTCATGGACAGAATGAAAAATGGAAATCTAGATAAATAATTTTTTCTTAAAATAAGTGCATTTGTTCTTGGATTAAGGAGATAAGAGAGACATTTTGCCAGTGGAACAAGAAAATTTACATTTAAAATAAGAAAGCACGATTGCATTGTCTTATTTCAAGTGCATTTTATCTAATTATCTTATTTTAAAAGTAAAAATACTCATTCCACTGGAAAACTATCTCACTTACCAGCTCAAATTAAGATTAAATACACTTAATTTAAGAAATTTTTACTTATTTTTAGATCGTTTTTCCAGTGAGGTTGTAGTCGTCCGATTTGGAAAACTCCAGCACTGGAAAAACGATCTAGAAAAAAGTAAAAATGTCTTAATTTAACTGTATTTACCCTTAATTTGAGTAGATAAATGAAATAGTTTGCCAATGGAATCAGCATTTTTACTCTTAAAATAAGATAATTAGATAATATACAGTTAAAATAGAAAAATGCAAGTGTGTTTTCTTATTTTAAGTGTAAATTGTCTTGTTCCGTTGACAAAATGTCTCTTTTACCTCCTCAATCCAAGAAAAAAATGCACCTATTTTAAGAAAAAAAATGACTTATCTAGATGTTGATTATATCCAGTGAGGTCACATCTTTGCTGTTGTAGATGATGTGGTTCTTCTAGTTCCTTTGAGTCAGGCCTTCAGCACAATCTCTGATGCGGTTCGGATTTTCACAGATTGTGATTCTCATAATCAAAACGTAGTAAAGAACTTTGCGAGCCAAGTTAAAATAGAATTGAAAATCCCTTCATTGTCCCAAAATGGGGAAAATCTTGTGTTTACAGCCGCAAAAAGATTATAGAAAAAAATGTCTAATGAAGAGTTAAAAAAGAAACAATAAAATACTGTAAAGTGTTTTAAAAATATAAAACTGTTCACCTGGAGAATAAATAACCAATATACAGCTATCGACATTTTTACAGTAATAGATGTTTGAAAATAGCAGCAACATCAGAGATGTGCAAAATGAGAGCAGCAGGTTATTTAACTGACTAAGGTAGAAACTTTGCAAAATCAGCATGAATGGAACAACTTATTAAGTTGTGAGAAGTCTCAGAACCTGCAGGAGGGATCGGTTATTTGACCTCGCAGGGAAACATTAGGGGATCCTCAGGGGTGAAATATTGTTATGGAGCATAAAGAGCCGCTTAAAGAGCATTTGCACTGGAAAAGTCGAAATCTAGATAAGTCATTTTTTCTTAAAATAAGTACATTTGCTCTCGGATTGAGGAGGTAAATGAGACATTTTGCCAATGGAACAAGACAGTTTACACCTAAAATAAGAAAAAACAATTTTATTGTCTCATTCCAAGTGCATATTATCTAATTATTTTATTTTAAGAGTAAAAATGCTCATTCCATTGGCAAACTATCTCATTTACCTGATGAAAATAAGGATAAATACACTTAATTTAAGACATTTTTTCTTATTTCTAGATTGTTTTTCCAGTGTGACATTGATGATCTTTGATTGGTTCTCATATAACCCCCTGATTTTGCTCCAGATAATATCAAACGGGATCTGCTCTCTTTGAAAAAAAAATTCATTTTGGTTAAAGTGCATCTAAATCCAGAAGAACTGAGATGAAAGTAAACATCTGACAGATGACAGACTTAGACAACTTTTATTGTCATTTTGTACACAGTGTATACCAAACAGCTTTCAGAACATTTCCATTCCCCAAAGTCCAGCAGTGATCAAATGTAAACATAAAAAATGTGGTGCAACAAAACATATTGATACGTATGGTGCAGATATAAGAGCCTTAGGCCTATTTCCTGAACATAAAACAACAGATTTAGTGTCACTTTAATCCTTTTGCATGAATATCATGGACTCCATGACGTAATAAACTCTCTGCCAGTCTGCTCACTGCGCAGATCTGCTTTAATTTGCAGAACTCTGCTCTCCTTCTGGATAAATAATCTTGCCCTGTTGCTGTTTCTGTGACTTGCTGCCATGAGGAGTGGCTGTGAAACACAAACTGGAGCTTGCTTCTTAATTTCTGGCTGGCCTTGCAAAGAAAGCCACCTGCAGCTGTCAGTTACAACCAGAGGCTGACTGACCGCAATAGTCTGCTTGGTTTTATTAAGATGTTGGTTTCAAAGCAGCGTTTGTAGTTTCTATCAAATCAATGTGAAAAAAGTAACCTCACCCCAATGTAAAATCACGAATTAGCTGGGATTATTTACATTTTGTTTGGTTTTTATCAGCCACACCAAGGGGTGGTTACAGAATCAATAAATGAAAACCAAATAAGAATTTGTAAGAAAACAGGAAGTAGGTCAAATAAAAAAAAGCCACATCCCAGTCTGATCTAAACGAAATCCAAATATTAACGTCTGTCAGCCTGGGGATTAATTTCTAAGACTTTATTCCCTCAGAGAACAACAGTTAGAACCATCATCAAAATTTAAAGTCAGACTAACATTTAATGTTCCTCTGGATTAGTCGTGGATCTGGTCTTGAATTTCTCCCATTTCTGCCCAATTTCTCTTTCTTAGTGTTTAATCATGAACTTTGACCTTAAATGAGGCATTGAAACCTGCAGAGCTTTAGATCAGGGGTTCCTAAAACGGGGGTTGGGACCCCCAGATACCAATTGGGGCCACTGGGAAAAATCGAAATCTAAATAAGTCATTTTTTCTTAAAATAAGTGCATTTGTTCTTGGATTAAGGAGGTAAAAGAGACATTTTGGCAATGGAACAGGACAATTTAAGCTTAAAATAAAAAAAAACACATCCGCATTGTCTAATTTCAAGTGTATATTATCTAATTATCTTATTTTAAGACTAAAAATACCAATTCTATTGGCAAACTATCTTATTTACCTACTCAAATTAAGGGTAAATACACTTAATTTAAGAAATTTTTATTCATTTCTAGATCGTTTTTCTAGTGATGAGATGAGTTTAACCAATAAGATACAGTTGTCTTCCAATAAAGAAAGAAAAAAGAGCTTCCAGTAAAATAAATGGACATAATTAATAATAAAAATGATAAAAACTTATAATCATTAAATAAATTCTGAATATCAGACTTCTTTACTTGTTGACAGGTATATTGGTTCACTGTTCATGAGTAAGGCACTTTATCATCTAAGACATCTAAGACTTTTTTTATTTATTTTTTCTTTAAACAAAATTCACAATGTATATTTTATTTTTTCTAAATTATTATTTGTTCACTTGGAAAGGTTTGTTTAACTAATGAGTGTCATGGTGGGTTGGAGGTTTGGCAGGACCCAAATGTAGAGACTGAAGCTGAAGTGGTTTCTTGAAGATTTAATAACAAAAAAGGGCAACAGAAGCAAAATCCAAAAACTTAAATCCCAAAAACTGAGAACCAGGAATACTCACAACAAGGGGGTAAAGAAATGATGACAAACCAGCAACAGTGACCGAGCACGAGGTGAATATATTGGAAAGAGAAACAAATACCAGGCTAATTAGCCGATTGGGAGCAGGTGTGAACAGAGGAGTCTAGAAGGGGAAAAGGAGACGGAAATAAGAGGGAAAACAAGAAATACCTAAGAACTCAAATACATCCAGAAAACAACGCAAAATATTAAAGAAAAAAAAAGAAAGACATGGATTAAAGTGAAACTGGAAACTCAAAAAGAAAACTTAAACTGAACCAAAACCATGACAATGAGTGTCGCTGTCATATCTTCCTTGATCTCTTAGGTGTGGTGTCCTGCTTCGAAGTGAAACCATCAAAGGAATCTGGAACAGTTTGATCCAAAGCTCGGTAACTGAAGGAGAAAAAAAAAATCATCCAAAGTCGAACGATGGCGCCTAAGAAGAAGGCCCTCCGTCAGAAGAAACTTGCAGCCGACTCCACCGAAAACATGGAGACCAGCTCGCTTCCTGTGAAGGTGGAGAGCCGAGGAGACGGCGTGGTGGTGGTGGAGACGGGGGTGAAGAAGATCGAGCAGATCGCAGCGCTGGACATCGCTAAGCTCAACAGCCTTAACCTGCCTCTGCCACCGCCTGTCATCAAACCAGGGGAGCGCGGCCTCGGCCTGGGCAGCGAGCTGACACGGCCTCTGCACGGCAACGCTCTGCTGGAGGAGCTGAGCAAGATGCGACAGGAGAAGTTAGTCCTCAAGCTCAGAATCACATATCAGTTTGCTGATATGTGATGTTATATTCAAACGATTGGTTGGTCATTTGTTTCTTTTCTTCACTTTGCTCAGATTTCTGACTGATCTGGAGTTGGCCTGCAAGACAAAAGCCTTCGATGTCCACAAACTGGTCATCTCCTCCGTCAGTCAGTACTTCCGAGAGATCCTGGCCAAAGACCCTGGAATGAAGCGCCTGGAGCTCCCCTCTTTGTCCCCGCTGGGTTGGTTCTTTTATATTAACTTCTACTAATAAATCAAAGCATGAAATATATTCAAAGTTAATCAGGAGTTTTTGTGTGACTGTTTTCAGAATCTTTCTTAAGGGGGGAATCTGTTTTCCTTTTCCTGTCTCCAGGTCTTGCCAATGTAATCACCTTCGCCTACATGGGGCGTGTCCACATGTCCCTCTACACCATCGGATGCACCGTCTCTGCTGCCGCCACTCTGCAGATCCCACAGCTCCTCAAGATGTGCATGGACTTCCTGCTAGCCGAGCTGAACGTGCAGACATGCGTCTACATCTGGAACATCGGCACGGCCTACGGCCTGCCGCCTGTCTGCGACGCCGCCCGCCGTTTCATCCTGGAAAACTTTGTGCAGTTCGCCGAGACGCCGCTGTTCACGCAGCTGACCTTGGAGCAGATCTCCGCCTTCCTGCGCGACGACTCGCTGGTGCTCCCGTCAGAGGTCAAGGCTTTCCAGGTCAGAGGTCAAACTCTGGATGCTGTAGTAGTCACAGCTGGTTTCAATCAATGGGACATTATATTCCCCTCTCATTTTCCTTGTAAGAGAACTCTCCCAGTAGTTAACCATCTAGGTTCCTTCCTTCTATTTACAGCAAAGTCCAAAAACAGACAGAGCAGCTGCTAGCAAGCCGGCCCAGACCCACATTTCAAGGACAGACACCACATGTTCACTTTGACCTGAAATCTCTAAGCATAACTCACACTGTAAGCTTTTTTTATTAATATACATGCTCAGAAATAAAATAGACTCTCAGCAGGGAGGTTAGTATTTATAAACTGAGCTAAACATAAGTCTGTCAGTGCCCTTGCAGCTGCGCTGATCTGTAAATATCATTATACCAACATCTCACAAATAATTTTTACAAAAATAACTATTTTGGTCTGATTGTATTAATAGTTTTGCTGATGGATGGTTATCATATCTCTAGGTACTGAGACCCCTGACTTTAAATAATTGATTGGATTGGTCAGGTTCAATGTAGGACAAATAGCTTACTATCATCAGCATAACATGTACATTTATATCATGCTCTCAAGTAGATTCACCAAGAAAAGGTTTATAGATTGGGAAGGGACTCAAGCACTCATCCCTGTGGTACACCATAAGTAATTGTGAGGCTCAAGAAATATTTATTATTGAAATAGGAAAGGTTTTAAATAAATAAGATTAAACCCTGTTGATCTATATAACAAATTCAAATCTGTGATTAAATAATTTGATTAAATGCATAAAATGCACCTCGGAGATGTAACAGGACAGTAGAGACACAAGTCTACCCTATAAGCCAATTAGGGACTTTTCTCTCTGATGTTGACCAAAACCAAACTGAAACGCTTTAAATTGACTCCCGCAGCTTGCCAACAAATGGCTGGACTTCGACGCCTCCCGTCAGGCTCATGCTGTGGAGCTTCTGTCCCACGTGCGCTTTGAGACAATCCCAGCCAGCGAGCTGGTGAGCCAGATCCAGCCTGTGACCCGAATGATGCTGGACCCCCAGTGTCACCGCCTGCTGGTGGACGCCATGAACTACCATCTGCTGCCCCACCAGCAAAACAGCCTGCAGTCCCGACGCTCTCAGGTCCGAGGAGCCCAGCAGACTCTGCTTACCATCGGAGGACGTCCATCGCTCACCGAAAGAGCTCTGAGCCGTGAGGTCAGTGACATCACCACAACAGATGTTGCTGACATGACAGCTGATTTTACTTTTTTGTTATTGTGAAGGACTTAAGCCAACTCTCCTTTAAGTATTTTACTTTGAATTGGAATAAAAGGTTCTTTATTTACGGCAATAAATAAGTTATTGGTGACCTTTGACTTTGTCATTTAGGTCCTGTGGAGGGATGCCCGTGAAGGAGGAGCCACCTGGCGCCACCTCACCCAGCTTCCAGCCAAGAGCTTTAACCAGTGCGTGGCTGTTATGGACGGGTTCCTGTACGTGGTCGGAGGAGAGGACCAGAACGATGCCCGTAATCAGGCCAAACATGCCGTCAGCACGCTTAGCAGGTAGCTATTCTCAACCTAGTCTCTCAATAGGTTATACTAATCTAATTTTCATTAAGGTAGGGTGAAATGTTTGGAAATTATTTTGATACTATAGTACAATTACCTTAACCTGACTCCATCAGATGGATTTGCTCCACATATCCATCTGGAAACCTTCAATTGAAGTAATTTTGGGAAGGGGCGAAAATACTGGTTAGCTGATTGGCCTATGTTGGTGATAGACGGGCCAAATAAACCAATCAGATCAACGAAGCATATGACATACTAACAGACCGACGACGAAAACACAACCACAAGCCAGGCTACTCTTGCCGAAACCAGTCGGGAGAAGAGCAAAAACATCTTTTCCTCTAAGAAAAGCCTCCAGAGCAGTGTTTTACTCTTCTTTCAGTGAAGAAATACTCTGTAATTCCGATAAAACTTGCTGGATAGCCACGCTAACGCTAGTTTCATCGGCTGAAGCCGCCATGTTCTTTAGACTGAACTGTCGCGCTTCTCGTTGCGTCACACCTCAACCCGCCTCAAAGCCAACGCTGATTGGACGTTCGTTTGGTGAACGGCTCCAAATTTTCTTTAACGGAGAGTCTCCAGACTGATTAGCGAGTGAAACCTTGAAAGCTCGCGAGATTAGGATGGTCTCATGAGGCTACAATTACCTTGGAATGCTTTAGATTGTCAGACTGTATGCTCTTTGCAAAGAGATGTTCCAATAACACTAATGGCCTTAAGGCATATCTTAAAGTTACGCACTTATTCTCAAAGACTTCCCCTCGTAACATTAGTGAAAGATTAGGTCAAGAAGCTCTGTTTGGCTGTAAAATAACCTCATACACAGCAAGTTATGGCAAGGCAAGTTTATTTACATAGAACATTGAGGTGGAAAGACAATTCAAAGTGTTTCCATTGGGTCATCAAAACCCAGAATAGTCAGGTCTTGGTCTCTGGAAAGACTTATCTTGATTTATGTCTGGGATTGACAGTTTCCAGTAAAACAGTACTTGCCCGATTGCATTGTGCCAAGTCTGGTAGAGGAGGTATTATGGTCTGGGGTAGTTTTTGGGGTTTCAGATAAGGGTTACTGCCTTACAGAGGAAATCTAAGGGTTTCTTTTGGTTTTCTACCTCCAGATACGACCCTCGCTTCAACACCTGGCTGCACCTTGCCAGCATGCGTCAGCGCCGCACTCACTTCTCCCTGTCAGCCAGTGGTGGCCGCCTGTTTGCCATTGGCGGCCGCAACGTTGAGGGTCTGCTGGCTACCACAGAGAGCTACCTGCCAGCCTCCAACACTTGGCAGATGAAAGCTCCCATGGAGGTGCCCCGCTGTTGCCACTCAAGTGCCACCCTGCCCTCTGGAGACATCCTGGTTACCGGAGGCTATATCAGCTGTGCCTACTCCCGCTCAGTGGCCTGCTACAACTTGGAGAGTGACACCTGGACGGAGCAGGCTCCAATGGATATGCCACGTGGCTGGCACTGCTCGGCCACCCTTGGAGGGAAGGTCTATGTAGTGGGTGGGAGCCAGCTGGGGCCCGCAGGAGAGCGGGTGGATGTCCTCTCAGTGGAGGTGTTCTCCCCGGAGAGTGGGACTTGGGGAAAGGTCGCCCCCCTCCCACTCGGCGTGAGCACCGCCGGTCTCTCACCGCTGGCCGACAAGCTGTACCTGCTAGGCGGCTGGAATGAGGCGGAGAAGCGCTACAAGGCGGCTGTGCAGAAGTATGATCCAGCCACTGACAGCTGGTCAAAGGCGGAAGACCTCCCAGAGCCCACCGTGGGAGTATCCTGCTGCAGCCTGACCCTCCCACCTCGTCACGCACCTCGCCGGCAGCAGCACCGCAACACACCAGGCCAAGAAGACCCGCAGCAGAAGAACCAGAGCCGGGAGAGCATTGCAGCGCCCTCAAAAGCATAGTGCAACCCAGGAGGAGGAGGGACCTGGAAGTCAACCATGATCATGTCCAAGGACTTTTCTGTCTGCAGTGATGTTAAACCTGAAAATTAGTTTTTATAAAACCAGAAAAAAACTAGTCGTGCAATAAGAACAGAACATGTCTCTGAATAACTAGGTATTTAACTAAAAGCACACTGAGGTTGCCTAGGTATTAAAGACACCTATTGGCCAAACAGAATCAAATAGAAACAACTTTTTTTCAATTTTTGTCTGAGGTTTTTGTAAATTTACTCCTAAGGACTTGATTTTGTATTGAATAAACTCAAAACAGTTTGCAAGCAGGCAGCTGTAAATAAGCTGAAGAGAAGTTTGTTAAAATGTAATTCTGCTTCCTGGTCTGGAAACTAGGTTATCAGTGCGTTGGAGGAGACATCCATGCAAGGGGAGATGGATCATCTTTCCAAATCAGACCAGATATTCCCCAATAATGTAAAAACTAAAAGTTATTTTTAGGAGGTTAACCAGATAAATGGTGACTTAAAGCTGAAGATCATCTGGTCAACTCAGGGAAGGGAAAAGAGGAAGCTCCAAAGAATGATTATGATTAAAGTCGAGCCACAAAAAAGCTAATTTATCTGTGCTGATTAGCAGAAATGGAAAGGAAGCTGCATGGTCCCAGGTGGAGGTGAATTTAGAGAGAAAGCAGGATGGGAAAAAGAAGAGAGGAGCAGGTGGAGGAATGATGGAGGCTGGAACAGATTACTGTGAATCTGGAAACCTGAGCAAGAAAAAAACTGGCTAATAGTTTTATTTTATGTCATTAAATGCTGAACATTTAACAGAAATATGAAAAAATGTAAATTCTGATCATCTAATCTAAGAAATCTTAAGCATTGTTCAGGTTTTTGCTGCAACTATAGCTGAAACAGCAAGACTCCAGCTCTTCACTCTGTGGAGTCTAGGCTAGTGTAATTTATTTGAATAAATCTGTTTGTCTCAGCTTTGGATGGTTTTTGTGGAGTTTCACTGAATAAAGATAATCTAGTCCAAACTTGTTGGTTCACCTGTCTTCTGTATGAATTTAGTTTTCCAGAAACACCTTCAGAATCAGAATCAGGTTTTGAATACACTGCAAAGATGGAAATATAAAGAGTCGTTCATCGAAATAAGAGTGTTTTCCTTTGTGCAAGTAAGTATGACAGTTTTCCAATAGATAAGATGACTGATTGTTAAAATAACAGTATTAACAAAACAAATGAAACATCTTTTTGAAAGGGCATAATATCCAGTTATCTTATTTTAAAGGAAAAGTCCGCTCACATTCAGAATTCAAACTTCTGA